TTCTTACGCAGGCTTGAGCTGTTATATATAAATATGCATTTCATATAATTTGGGAATAATTTTAATTTAGTTTAGATACCGAGCAAGGACATGTATTGTAAACTTGTTAAACCATTTGGCCAATAATAATGAACTTAATTTACATTTTATGATTATTTCAATGGGCTGGTTGTAATTTATATTGCTAAATTTGCATTTTTCCTGAAAAGAAAAATTGTAAAATTTATAAATTAATAAAATTAATGTTTTAGTTAAAAAATTTAAAAACAAATCGATTTGGTTTTTTACAATTTTAGAAAATTAAAACCTAAACCAAACCATTTTGAAGCGGTTTGGCTTGGTTTGAGGAAATAAAAATCCCGGGTCCACGTGGACTAGTACCGATGGTTTGAAATCAACGATTTTGGTTCTAGTTGTGGTTTTCACTATTTTTTTATGTAGTCCTAATCTTATATGTATTTGGTGGAGAGAGAATTTCATTCAACAATACTGGAAAATCTTAGGCAAAATTTGTGGGCGTCATCCTCAACTCTTATCCCTTGCATTTTCTACCCTTAATTTTTTTTTTCTTTTTTCTTTTTTTGACGCTTATGTCCTTAACTTATCACAAATTAGCGACTTCCGATTAACTTTTAAAGTGGTCATCAAATTGGCATGTGCAATTAACATGAACAATAGAGGATATTATAACTTGGTTGTCTACAAGGGGTGCACATTTCAAATTGAAAGCAATTTTGCATGAAAATCATAATTAGGAATAATAGACGCTGGCTTGTGAAAACTCTAGATCAGAATACGGAGAAACAAATATTGTGTATAGAAATACAAATATAGTTATAACTTGCTTGGTAGCGATTAAAATATAGATTTTAGGAAAAAGCCCGAAATACAGGGAATTCTTAATGGAATTCATTTTTTTCATTTTTTATCCTCCAATGAATCATCGCTATGTGTTGTCTGTAAAAATGTTTTATTCTTGTAGTATGATTGTATATTTTAATTTAAATTAAAGTCAATAATTAATTTTAACAATATATTTTCATGAGACTCACAACTTTTCAACCCCACAATTCATCAATTTTTTTTTATTATCAAAATATACTAAAAAATTGATTTTAATCCCATCAAACAGAGACTTAGGACAGCAAAAGACTCTTTCTTTGTTCATATTATCAAACGGCCTATTGAGTGATAAAACACAAAAATATATTTAAGTATATTATACAATTATAAAAGATAGTTTTGTTTAAAAGACATTATTACCCTTTCAGTTAGCAATTAAAAATTAAACACTTCACACTTAAAATATCAAAATCAACTAACTTTTTTTATCTGTTTACTCCAACACAGATAAAAAACTCTCATCTTTCATCTGCTTTAACATCAAAAACTGAAAAATTTATCAAACGCGGTAACCGATTTTTTTTATATCAATCTCATCAGATCGGTAAATATAAATACGCACATTTAATTTTGTTTTAGTTAAATTATTGTACGTTTAATTAATAAATTTTATTTCAACATATAATGTTAATGTAGATAATTGTTTTAAAAGATCTGTAAAAAATTGAAGCATTTGACGAGGAAAAATTATCTGCATATACGAAAAAATTCATCTACATACGTTGTAATCGATCTAAAAGCCGGTTGTCCGACAGGCTGTTATGATAGCCGACTATAATGGTTGCCTACTTTTGGTTTTTTGTTTTTTTTTTTTTTGCAATGGAAACAAATTCTATCCTCAATACCTGCAAATTTTATCCCTTTAATTGACAATTTTCATGTAAAACAAAATCAAACGAACACCAAAAGACACTTTTATTTTAACATTTTTCACGTAAAAAATTATACCAATCAAACACAATAAATTGACAATTTTCAGAAAAATAATTTCTAAGCAATTCAATTCCCTGGAATTCATTTTCTTTCAACCCAAATTCTATCTTTGTAATCAAACAGACCCTAAGCGTTTTTCTTTCCTAATTTGTTTAAGTTCTCGTTCGGTAGCAATTTTTCACCCAAAAAATCAAATTTTTGATTGTAATTTCATTATTCCGGCCTTCATTTTTTTCTCTTCACTCATAAGTGGAATCCACTTTTCTCTCCAACGATAAAAAATCAATTTTCATAATCACTGCCGATCAGGCTCTAGATGTTATAAGATTAATGTGTTACTAGTCTTTCAATTCCCATCCTTCTTTATCGAAATAAAAGTAGAGTCTCAGACCTTGAATCGGAGTTACTTAAACAAAGATTGCTTATTCACATAACGATAACGATAACGATACCAATAACGATAACGATAACAACGATGCCTTAATAAGATACTTTTAGAACACGGGTTCAAAGTGAATCCTTTGCAATGAATAAGGCTTCTTCTCCATGTTAACACTTGCTAACTCGCTTTCACAGTTCCATCGTAAGTGAACAATTAAAAGGTCCAAAACACATTGAATGAGACTAAGTCGTGCAGAGAATAGTTTTATAGTCCTTTTCAATAAAATTTTAAAAACATTAAATTTCTTGTAAGGATCTTGACGATCTTGAACCGATGGCACAGTCTATCTATCAAATTTTTTTTTTTTTGCCAACATTATTTGAAAATAAAGTATCAAATCATGCCGGAAATATATGCCAATCCAATTATCAATCCCCAAGACCGACTATGCCCCAGTTTAGCCCCCATTAATTGATATTATAATTTTTGGATTTTTTTTAGAATGTATGATTGAAAAAGAAATAAATATTTTTATTTATGTATATTATTATTTTATTAAAAAAATGTGTAACAAAAAATAAGAGAGAGAGATAGAAATGTATTATAAATTTAGCCCCATTTGATTCCTATTCTTTGATCACAAAAATAAAAAATATGATCGTTATTCATCACATCAAGCTATCATATTTGATTTTCTATTTCTTGTGTAGGTTTCGTAACGATTATATTTTTCATTTTTTTTTTTTTTTTTACAAAAATGGACACCAAAATAGACTTTAATGAGTTAGTCAAACATGGGCTATAATAATTAGGATTAATCTATTTGTACCAAATAATTTACCTAATAATTTATCGAATTGACAAGTGACGACCCTCTATTGGAGAGACGACTGTCTCCAAAGCCGCCCCTCCAATAGAGGATCGTCACTTATCAATTCGGTAAACCATTAAGTAAATCATTTGATACTTGTAGCATCTTCCTAATAATTAATTTATCATAGTCAAATAGTCTTAACGCGTGTCTTAGCGCGTATGTTAGTCAAATCCTTTAATTAAATACCCTGTTTTTGCAGATCTAGAACCACTTGTGTTTTCTCACTAGCACACTTCTTCATGTCCGTGCGTTCTTTCACCAATTAATCAACTTATCAATAAAGTTTCATCAAAGTTATTAATTGATCGAGACATCAGCTTAGTTTTTGTTAAAAATCTGTAAAAAATGATGACCAATTAGCATACATATTAGATAAGCATCATTGACAATTATGGCATGTTTGGCAAACTTACAAATTTACCTATGAGTGAGCTTTACTTATGCGTAAAATAAGTAATTTTCTGTTGGTCAATTTTAAAATAAAAAAGTCAGGGTGCGTTTGATTTTCAATATTTTTCATGGAAATTTGAAAATGTGTTTTTTCCATTCAAATTTTCACTTTTGTGCTGTTTGATTGATATTTTTTCATGAAAAACATTTTCCTACTTTTGGTCACGTGATCATATTTTTTTCAAAATCAAGGAAAATATTGTTTTAGGGGGAGTAAGATTTATTTTCCATGGAATCCACTTTCACTATCTTATCTATCTCCTCTCTTATTTACCTACCAATAAAAAATGGTTAAGTACAATAGTTTCTAAATTGAAAATTAAATCAATTTGTTAGTTTTCGATACGGGTTTTGTGAACCCGTAACTTATACATGAAGCATCTCTCTTACTGTATTATCTCTTCTTTTTTACTTACCTTTTTATTTTTATTTTTCAAATATTATTTAAATTTCTTGGAAAACACAAAATAAAAATTAGAATCGAACCATGATTTTCCGTCCCGTCCCAATTTATTGGCAGAACGGAAGGTTTTGCCATTTTTACATAACTAGACTTATAAGTGAAGTCACATTAAAGCTTGCCCAAACACAATTAATCAATAACTAATTGTCAATAGCCAGCAATACATTTGTCATTTGAGAGTTTATGTTATGTCTTATAAAGCTTTGGAAGTGATTTATAGTAGTAGTTTTGTTGAAATATAATGATGAATTTAATTTACTTTCTATGATTATTTTAATGGGCTAATTGTAATTTGTATTACTAAATTGATATTTTTCTAAAAAGTGAAACTGTAAAATTTATAAGTTAATAAAATTGATGTTTTGATTAAAAATTCTTAAAATGATTCGATTCGATTTTGTGCGATTTTTGAAAATCAAACTTAAACTAAATCATTTTAAAACGGTTTGATTTGATTTGAGGGAAAAAATTGTGAGTTTACGTAAATCTGAACCAACAGTTTCAAATAGGAGTGTCAAAAAAATTCAGGCAGCCCGACTCGTGGCTCGGGTAGAGCCCCATTTTGGGGACACGGGCCAAGCCCGATCCCACTTGCGAGCTTTAAAAAAAAAAAAAAGAAAAAAAAAAGCAGCCTTTTAAGGTAAAAAAGAAAAAAGAAAAAAGGGGGAACTAGCCTGTCCGGCTCGGCCTGAAAATGCCCGAGCCAAAAGCTTGGGTTTAGCCGAAATTTTTTGCTCAGCTCGGTTCGGGCTTGTAAAAAAGCTCGACCATTTTAATCGAGTCGAATGTTTTAGGATAGGCTCCGCTCGTTAACATCCCTAGTTTCAAATCAATGATTTCGGTTCAATTTGCGACTTCATAATTTTTTTTGTGTAGCCCTGATAAAAATGGTATCATTATTAATTTTTAATCGTTGTTAAAAATGCCAAACTTCACTTTGAAGTAATTCTAGTGATTTTGAGCTTGCCCAATCACTTATCAAGAATTGTTAGTACTATCTGTACGCTTTGACAGCTGCACAGAGCAAGGTGCTTTATGGGAAAGCGCCCGAGACGATGTTCACACCGATACACAATTTTCTGTTCATATTAGCCTACCCAAGCCAAGTAACGAAAATCTCTAGAACCCACCAAAAGTCTTAAATCCCATAAAAATTCATTCAAATGGTTTGAAATTGAAGCTACCTAATATTTGAAAATCCTGAAATGAGACCATTTCAATCTCTTCTGATTCAGATTCTACTGATTCTAGCTGGTTTTTCAAGTGTTTGGTCCTCTTCAGACTACACCGATTTGGTTTACAAAGGCTGTGCGAATCAAGATTTTCAGGATTTCAATGGGATATACAAGCAAACACTTCAAAATCTATTCGACACACTAATCTCTCAAGCGTCCACCGCAAAATTCTATAAAACCACCGCCGGAGACGGCCCATCCGCCATTAATGGACTCTTCCAATGCAGAGGCGACCTCTCAAATTTTGACTGTGTGAACTGCGTGAAAAAAGCCCCTGAAATGTCCGAAAAGCTTTGTGGCCACTCCATTGCTTCTAGAATCCAGCTAAACGGGTGTTATTTGAGATATGAGATTGCTGGGTTTAGGCAAGTGAGTGCGACTGAGTTGCTATACAAGGTTTGCGGTTCAACTCAGGCGAGTGGCGCCGGGTTTGATGACAGGTTGAACTCGGCCTTAGGGGAAATAGTCAAAGGTGTTGGGAGTGGAAATAGTGGATATTATGCTGGTGGATATGAGTCCGTGTATGTGCTGGGCCAATGTGAAGGTGATTTAAGCAGTGGGGACTGTGTGAACTGTGTGAAAAATGCAATTGATAAAGCTAAATCTGAATGTGGGTCTTCAATTTCTGCCCAAATTTATCTTCAAGAATGCTATATTAGCTACACTTATTATCCCAGTGGAGTTCCTGCCAATACCAGCCCATCATTTACATCAGGTAAAATATTCAAGAAAATTACACTGCAAAATTTGTTTGAAATGTCACAAATAATTGTTAATTAACTATCTCGTCTAAAAACTAGAGACATTTGATAGCTTCTACATTTGTTAATTTCGTGATAAATGCACTATTTTCATATTAAAACATGGTCTTATGGCTTGCCTTCGCATCGTTTTTACTAAGCGGTTTGACAAACTTTAAAAATTTAAATTGTTTGTCACAGTATCAGTATCATTATCCGTGACACATTACCACAATAAAATATTTTATACACAAAGATTTCCTTACGTTTTAAACACGCAATCTCCAAAAATATTATTCAAAACTCCTTAATTTTTCAAATATTGGGTGTCAAACAGGCCTTCATTTAAAAGTTTGTGTCCAAAAGGCTACATATACATTCAAAAAATTGTAGCAATAATCAACTAAGGGTCCGTTTGGCATGATGTTTGCCTTTTCTTTTACCTTTGTTTCGAGGAAGCTACCTTAATTTTTATTGAAAGTTAAAAAAGTGCGTTAGAGAAAGCCACATTGGAGAGTTTCTTCCAAAAGCTCTTCTAACTACTTGAATCATTATTCATAAAATTAGCCAAACATCTCCAAAAGTAGCTTTTGGGACTCATAAGCTCCTTCTGACTTTTCAAAAGTCATGCCAAATGGATACTAAGTAAATTGTTCTCTATGAATTTGAAGACGATTATATAAATCATATTCCATTATATAGTTTAGTTCATTGCTAGATTTTCGTAACATATAAAGCAAGTGAATGCTTAACAACTACCACATGTCATGTTAATTTTGATGAACTGGACCGTGGTCTCACATGTTGCCGGGAACATGAATGTGTCTGTTTATAGTTTTCCCCAAAAGTATGTGGAAGTTTTAATCTATGTGGTTGGTGTAGGGAGTGTGGGGACAAGGAAGAATACACAGAAGACAGTGGCTATTGTTCTTGGAGGAATTGTGGGACTAGGCCTGGGAATTGCTTGCTTGTTGTTTGCCAAATCAACTTTGACGAAAAAGAGTAATACTTACAAGTATGGTGGATGAGGTTCGTATCATTTTGCAGCATGAACTAATTTCTTGAATTTTGTTTGACCGAGATTTTTATAAAAGTTTTAGAAGATTTTGATAAAAGATGAAATTATGTGTTGTTAAGAAATTGTTAAAAGTTGTGGGTCCATGAAATGTGTTGATAAATTTGAAGTTGGACAATTTAAAAAGTTTCTAAATTAGCAATGTTTTATTAAACACGCACTTAATTTGTGGGTAAAAAATACCGATTATCTTAAATGGGCCCCTTTATTTTATTATTCTTGTAAATAAGTGGAAAAAATAGGACTCATTTGACATGATTTCTATTCTTCTTATGTGTAGAAGAACTTTCTGATGTTAATACTCTTCTAATCAAACATAGTACTTTTAGAAAATTAAAATGAATCGATCCAAAATTAGCTACTTAGTCTCAGAAGTAAACTTTTGACTTTTCAAAAATTCTGCCAAACGGTCGTTAATGAAGTTGAATTGAGTAACTGCATTAGGATTGATGATTTCCATACATTCATGGCATTTTTGGGTTGGACTTTTGATTTTTCAAAAGTTTTGTCAAACGGCCCCTTAATGAAGTTGAACTGAGTAACTACATTAGGATTGATGATTTCCGTATGTTCACGTCATTTTTTGGTTGGACAAGTAAACGTAGTTCAATAGATTGACATGGTACTTACTTGCATCTCAATTGGTGCATGCCTAATGTATAGTGCTTGTTTGTGCCCCATTATGTGAATAATGTATAATGAAATAGTGATTGATGTTGAAATGTGTGGTTAAAAAAGAAGATTTTTTTTTTATAATAGATTAGACAATATAATAAACCAATATTCGTTTCTTTTGTTTCTTCAATATCAAATGTTACACAATCTTCTTTGTCAAACATGTTGCGTATCTTTTTGGCACTCGATGAGAATGTAATTATTACTTTTTGGAACAAAATTGCAGATATTTCAAAGTTAGAAAGCATTATATTGTGGATTGTAAAGAGGAGAAGATTTGGTTTCCACTTTGTTAGGCATTACTTCCTTCCTAAGTTTTGTTTTTTCTTTAATCCCTTTACGAACTAAATTAAAAGAGCTGTCTATTTCATAGAATTGTGTTAGTTTTTAGTGTATGATTGTTGCTTTATGAATGTAAATTCCACAATTCATATAATATGTAATTCCTTTTTATTAAAGTAAGTAGTTACTTCTCTTTCTTTTTATGTAGTAAATCCTACTTTTTTTTTTTGTTGCTTTTAAGTTCAATGTCGCTTAACAGGTACGTAAAAATGTGTGAGTAGAGCAGTTCGGTCGGTCCATCACAAATGCTGTGTGTGAAATGGGTTAGGGTTATTTGACAATTGGTAAAATAAGGTTAAAGAAATATTGCTTTCTACTCACTCAATATACAATTTCACCAGAATAGTGCTACACTTACGGAGAAAAATTATAGATTCACATCGCAGTGGGGCTCACCTCAATTAAATATTCATATGGAGCCCACTCCATGTGACTACATGTATAACCTTGTGAGAAAATTCTCTGTATATTGGGCATTTTCCATTTCACCGAGGGCATCTCCAATTATTTTCACCAATTTTGTACAAAAATTCACTCCAATGGTACGCCAAAATACCACACCAATTTGATGCAATCAATAGCCCATGTTTGTCAATTATTTTACCATATTATTTTTTTTACAGTACTTATTTTCAATTACATATTTTTTATTAAAATAATATTATATATAAAGCAAAAAAATTTCCTTTTTTTTTAACCATGCATTATAACACCAATCACTATTCTACACATTATTCTTTGAAATTAAAGGGGTACAAACATGCCCATAGTATCATTTGGTGTTATTTTTTAATATTCTTATTTTTTCTTTCATTTTATATTACAATACATTTTAATTCTTATTATATCCGCTTTATAACCTTTATTTTAATTTAATTATAAATTTTAATTAACATATAATCACGTAATAAAAAAAATAACCATTTTATACATCAAAATAAAATTACTCATTAAAACTCAAAATTTACATATTTGATGGTTAGAAATTAAGAAGAAATTAGCACTAGAACAATATAAATATTCAAAATAAAAGTAAGTGTACTAAGTGTAATGTTTTTTAATTTATTAATAAATACAATATTTTTTAGTAATAATATAATTTGTAATATATTATTTTTTGAAATCAATTAATCATTGGAAAAAAAGAAATAATATTTATTTATTGAAGTGTTTGTGTAATGTTGGAAATGATTTGTAAAATGGTGTGAAAGTTACACTAATTTGGTGCAAATCGTTGGAGATAGTGTGACTAATGTCCCCTTTCTTTATTTATCTAGTTGACGGGGATTACAATTAAATTTTTAGTAGATTTTGATAAAAATTAATGGATTATGTGGTTAAAAAGTTGTGGACTGTTGACTTTGACTTAAATTTAAATTTAAATTTTATTCACAAACAAAGAAGGGCCTGTCTATTGACTTTTGGTCAATTAATGGGAGATTAATAGAATTTCGTCCTGTCCTTCAAGTGCTATAAAATTGAAAGATTTGAGATGACGATTGCAACAGTGAAAGATTTGGCACATCAACTAAAATTCTTCCATAATATAATTTTGCTCCTATTTAGTGCGAATTAAAATTAGATTTTTAGTAATTTTTTTATAAAAGTTAATGAAATATATAATTGAAAAGTTGTGAATTTTATGAAAGGTGTAATGAAAATTATTTTTTAACTATGATTTTAAATTATATTGATATATTTAACAAGCGACATATGCAATACCCTAAAAAACTGGGAAGAGGACCATAAAAATGGTTGTGTCAAGTTGTAGACACAAATTTCATGCCTGTTTGTTCCCTTTTAAAATTTTAAATTGTTTGTTACAAAATCAATTTTCATCACTTATTCATATAATAAAATATTATACAGACAATCTAATAAAGACTCTTTAATTTTTAATTACATATTCTTGAAAAAATAATATTTAATTTTTTTTTAATGTTTTAAATAATGAATGACGAATAGACGTCATTTTTCTCGTCATTTAGCAACAATAATTAAGTGAAAAGGTGGAGAATGCATAGATTTGGTCAGACATTGGAAAAAGATTCTTGTGGATATCCACAAAAGCTGACGAATTACAAGTTTTGTCCTATAGTGTAGAGTGCACAGACGCACATCACTTGACGGGTCTCTCTAAAGCCATAATAAATTATAAATGATGTAATTTTCTTAAATAATATTTTATACTCTCATAGAAAATAGGTTTTTTTTTTATTTTTTTATTTTTACATGTCATACTTTTCTTGTTAAGAGCATAATTATAGTCTGTTTGGCTGTGCTTTTTCACTAGATTTTCAGCCAAAATTGAGTTGTTGGTCCAAGCTGCGAGTCCCACCTCACACACATGCAATCAAAAATTGTGGGCTGCAACAGTAGGAAAATTGTTGCCAACTCACTTTTTTGCTTTAAATTTCTCCCAAATAGGCCCTTAATGTAATTTTATATTTCCTCCATCTTATAAAAATAGATTTATTTTTTAATTTTGTTTGTCCAAATTATATATCACTTTTTTGTTGAGAGTATAAATATCTTAATTTTTTAATTATTTAATGTGCTGGGTTGGGAAATTATTAATTTTTCATGTGGACCGACATATGTAATTAATTGTATGTAAAAGCTATTTTAAAGTTAAGTCTAAAATTAAAGTCATCTAATAAAGAATTAAGTAATTGAGTTTAGGACATCTAAATAAAAAATGTGCTGAATTATATGTGTAGAGACCAAATTTATTTAGAATTGTATTTTATGATGTGCGAAATTTATATGAAAACTATATATAAGGTTATGATCTCCAATTCACATACAACTTTTCATTCTCTGTGTTATCCTATCAATACAAGAATTATAGAGAAAACATATTGAAGAGGAAGATCCTAAATCCACAATCAATAACAGGTTATCTACTATCAAGAATCAAGAAGAATGATTCAAGAATTCACAATTAAGAGTCAAGATTAAAGATGCGAAAGACAATATTCAAATATTATAATTCATTATACAAATCAATGGATCAAGATATATTTCGCATTAATTATTTTTCCTTGATGATTTGACATAAAGATCTGGGCAATTATGTAAAGTTTTTAAATTTAAATTCTATAATTATTCAATTATTAACAAATGTGAACTAGCATTATTCAATGAAGTGATATATTAAAGAAAATGTAAGTAAAATATATAGTTCACACACATATTAATTAAGTTTTTTCTTAATCTTTGTAAATATAGAAGCAATAGGATTAGCGGTAAGCACGTGCGTTGCATGTCTTATATACGAAATGAACGATATGCGTAATATTTTTAAAGTAAGATAATTGATAATATTTAAAAAAAATTAAATTGTTAAAGAATATTTATAGGAATAAAAGTTTTATGAAATTACGTACATAATGTGAAAATATTGAATAAATTGAAATGTAATGTTTTGTTTACGCTAGACATTGGTTGGACCCTTATTTTTCAATTATTAAAGCGGCATTGACTAGCTTTTTGGTACGGACGGACACAAAGAAGAACCGAATTAAAATATGTACAAAAAAGTATCTTATCTAAAAATATTTGGAAACAAAAAATTACGTACTAATCATGCTCATAATATTAATTCATAGCATTTATTTTAAATTAAAAACCAAAGTTACATTCAAAATAGATATAGAAGTGAAAATTTTAAAACAAAAGTTTTATTTTTCTTTCGAAAGGGAGTAATACAAATGAAGGAATAAAAATTCTCCCTTTAAATGTATTGAGATAAAAATCTGTTTTTATTCTTTATATTTTTATATTTTTTTTCTCCTCATAATTTTTAAAATTCATTTTTCTCTCTTCTTTCCACATATTCTTCATTAAAAATAATATTACATGTAAACTCAAATTTTTTAATTATTTTTTAACTACATATTCTACATCAATTTATTATTCCAAAATGCATTCTTAACTAAAAATGGGGCTCAAACATGCTACTAATAAGTAACTCAATAACCTTCAATTTTTATGCTTATACAAAAATGAACTTGCAATAATAATAAATACCCAATACTTTATTAAATATAAATTTTTATTAATGCTTACAAAATTTAGTTTTAGTGAAAAATGTCTAATTGAAATGCGTAGTGGAGTGGATACAAATATAAGAAGGGTAAGTAACTCCTAATTATTAGAAGTAATTATAATCTTTTTAAAATTGATGGATAATTTCTCTCATATTCGATTCTTTCATTCCTAATTATTAATCACATTTAAGCATTTTTTTCTCAGTTTATTGTCATTTGTATTTAAATAGTTATATTATCTGTTATACTAATTAAACGCGCAATTTAAAATCTTTGAATAAAAATGTTGATAACGTTATATAAGGACAAATTGGTAAATTTAACATTTCTTATCTATCTCAACATTTTATTTTTGTGTATATTGTAATTATAATATAATTATATTAGTAGCGTTGATTTCAAACGGAGCTCACGTATATAAATAATAAATAATATAATATATGTACATGTACATGTGAAATAATAGGGTTAATTTTACAAACGGTCACTGAACTTACAGAAAAATTACAAAACGATCACTGAAATTTAAAAATTTCAGTAACGGTCACTTAAGTATTGGGATGCTTTCAAAAATGGTCACTGAAATTTAAAAATTTTTGAGCTACTTTTGCAGCAATTTTTCGACCACTTCCGACCATCGATACCATCGGATTTTGATACCGTTGGAAAGCCTACAATATCCTCTTCAATTACAACGAAAAAATCTCCCCCAAACTCCAAAGGATTCGACCGGAATAAACCTATAAAGTTGGCTACCCGAAAAGGCAAAAATCTACCCAAATTTTCAAATTTTTGGTGGACTTTTGCGGCGATTTTTTGACAACTTTCGACATCCAAAATACCCAAATTTTGATACCGTTGGAAAGCTCATAATGTCCTCTTTAATTAGTATCCAGAATCTCCCAAAAACTCCAAAAGATTCGGTCGGAATAAACTCACAAAATTGGCATTACAGATTTTCGCCTTTTTGGGGTACCGACTTTGCAGGTTTATTCCGACCGAATCCTTTGGAGTTTGGGGGAGATTTTGGATGGTAATTGAAGAGGACATTGTGGGATTTCCAATGGT